AAATACTGAAAGCAGTAGATCTCCACTCTGATTTCAGATTAGTGAAAGAGTGTCTTGCTTTTCGGATCCTGGCTGCTTTGACATTCTTGTCTATGCCGCCTGTAGTTGAAATGATGCTGCCAAGCCAGGTAAAGGTAGGTAGGTGAAAGAGACTACCTCGTTTATATTTCTTCCGTTAATGGTGATTGTTGCCTGTTGTTGATGCTGTTGTTGGTTGAGTATCTTCATCACCTTCATCTTCTCTACAGTTACAATAACTATCACGAAATATATATGCATGAAACCAGGTCTAACATCTTGTAAAGCCTTTTTCTTATTATCCTTTGTTCAGCAGTTATAAATAAAACGCTCTATTTAACTCCAACTACAACCCATTTGAACCTCGCCTGGTTAACTAGTTCACTAGTTACTAGCTGGTCCTAAGCCCGGGTAAAGAGGGAAGGTTGGGCATAGGGCTAGCAACCCTACCCCGTAAAACAAATCTAACCGCTAAAGAAACTTCAAAGCACAACCCATTTGAAAATATGAGTAAGACTGAAATCATACATCAAAATGTATGCTGTAATGTGAAGCAAATTCAGAATTCCAGTAATAAATCTAGGTTAGATTATTATTATTATTATTATTATTATTATGTGACTAGAAGAAGCTTGATTTTCATAAGTTAGATCACTAATACAACTTTTTGTAACTTACCCAACAGTGTGAAACTGATTTCAAATAACAATAATAAGACAAGGATATATGGCTAACTGAATACAACAATGTATAGTAGTTTTGTATTGAATAAAAATCATTAGAATGCAACTAGTTGGAAAGATTTTAGAAAACAATAATTAGACATTTAATGATATCAGGGTAGTATTATCCGCCATGGATTGAAATCAGTTAGCGAAACATTGAAAACCAGAGATAAATGGATAGTCGTTTAGTCTTAACATAATACTGCACAGCAGTGCTCAACCATGACTTCGCAAGGGACTGAACTCAGAACAGTTAGGTCTTGTTGTAAGCATTTTGTCAACCAGTCAATAGGTTGGGATCTAATGATTCACATTTTTCTACTTCTGTCAATTCATGATACAACGCGACCGTCATTCATTGTCATTAGTGAGCATCCATTTCACATGCGAATTTGTTTACCTCATAGTTCATAGTTTCTCAACCTAACTAAGAGAAATCCATCTCGAAGCATGTCAAATCGTACCTACAGACTGATACCACTACTACGTCTCTGTTATCTGAAGTAGTAGTGTAGTTTAAGGACTTTCACAATGGGTTTTAACAAAAATCTGAAAAGTATTAAAAATGTTGACAATTAGTTGATAAAAACCCTCATGTGAGATAAAATGACATAGAACTATTCAGGGGTGCTTATCTTACTCCGAATATCTAATTTCTCTTGCCATTCATATTACTTTGGGAAGAACAAACCATGTGTGCATCAAATTGCAACGCTACGCATCATCACAGAACAGACCATAGGATGGTAGTCAACTCATTGCCTTAAATTCATCGACTTTAAAATGACCTTCTACAACTTGGATAATGTAATTAGAAGACGTAGATTATCTGAAAAATGTGATGTATTAGCGCTATACATTTCGAACAATCTGATCACACATTTACTTGTTAAGGCATTATATATGAAAACTGGAAGTGGGGGAAGGACACATATGACATAAAGGAATTCAATAATAAGAAAGATAATGAGAGGAATAAAAGATAAGACTTGAAGACAATCTTGGTAATACGATAAAATAAGCATTACCAAGGTAGGCTTAATGTAAGGACAAACTGTTTTTGCACACACAATGGGGGGTTAAATTTATTTATGGCTAGCGCCTCAACAAACTTAAGTATACGCCCCTGACAGTTTCGGTACAAAATTGTAAAGGCTGTCTTGATATCAATTCTGTGACTCTTATCAATGATATGTTTCGCAATGGATGATGATGGTTGTCTGCCATCTGCGCTTATCAATGTTTGTGAATCCAGCTGCTTTCGTAGCCACTTTGGAACATGTTCCCCTACCCTCAAGTGCATATCACGATTCGTCCTCCCTATGTATGTTTGTCCACACACACATGTAAATTTATAAACGCAATGGGATGTGACACAATCGTTTATACAGCGTTGAGGTCTAGGTAGCAGCAGGTGTTTGGTCTTCTCAACTATGATAAGCTTAGCTGCATAGTACGTTTTGCTAACAGCAGACCTTAACCTTCGTCTTAATATTATGCTATTAGCTTCTCCTCTGTATGGTAACGCGATGTAAACGCATTTCTTCGAAACAGAGTACAGATCAGGTTTGAATCCTCGCTGATTTTTGCAGCGGTTTATGAACTTCAATGGATATCCATTTTCCACTAATGTTTCCGTTAGTATTTTGATATCATCATCCATTGAGTCCTCCGTACAAATACGTTCGATCCTTTTAAATAGACAAATTACCAAACCTCGCTTGTATTGGGTTGGACAAAAGCTATGGAAACTTAAATACTGACCTGTCCAAGTAGGTTTCCTGTAGATCGACCGTTTTATTGAACCATCATTTCTACGACTTAGGAGTATATCCAAGAATGGCAGACGGTTTTCTTTTTCTTCTTCACTTGTCAGGCTTATGTTGTTTTGTACGTTGTTAAGTCTTTCTAACAAACATGTCGCATCTTCATGCTTATCACATATCACGATTATATCATCAACATATCTTTTATAGAGAGTAACTTTATTGATGAGATCGCCGGTCAAGCCCTCAATGTGTGACATGTAAATATCAGCTAGCAATGGTCCTAAGGGACTTCCCATAGCCACACCATCTATTTGTCGAAAATGTTCACCTTCAAATGTGAAATGAACTTTATCAGTACACAATAATAACAGCTCTCTCAAACACTTCTACAACGTCGAGCTAGAAGGAATTTGGAAACTACTTCAACACCACGCAGTGTCACAAACCCCTATCAACCTTATTCAACAACACCTATAACCTATATGATGAGGCTACATGCCAAGTGATTCACAATGCAAAGCTCAGTGATGCCTTTGAAGTGAAGTGAAGACAACAGTAAGACAAGGTTGCCGCATACTATCACCGATCATCTTCCTGATTGTGGTCTACTGAACTGGTGTGGACTGAATGATGCAGGAAACTGTGAGGAGCTGTGAGAAGATAAGCATACACTGTTTGACCGATACACAGACCCTTGAAGGTTTGGATTTCGCCAACGATGAGGATTTATGTCTAATGTCTTGTCGCACAAACTCGAAGATCTACAAGTGAAAACCAACAAGTTGGCAGAAGAGGCGAGGTGGGGCATCCAAGGAAGATGGAACTTCTTTCACGTGAACGTAGAGAAGACAAAGGTGATGAAGATACCGAACTAGCAATTCCAGCAAGAGGCACCAGTCACCATGAATGAGAAATATCTAAAGAAGGTCGTCTCTTTCACCTACCTACCTACCTACTTAGGCAGCATCGTCTCAACCACAGGCGTTGGCACAGAAAAGGATGTTAAAGCCAGGATCAGAAAGAAAGCAAGACTGGCTTTCGTTAATCTGAAATCAGTGAGGAGATCCACTGCACTATACTCAGCATAAAGTGTGAACAAGATCCGGATTTTCAACACTAAGTCAGTCAAGTAAGTCAGTGCTTCCATGTGATGGTTCATAGACTTGGTGCATTCCGAAAAGCATTTCCAACAAACTGCAGACATACGTGAAGAGCTGCTGCCTCTGCTCGCTCAATACTGAAGATCAGATCAAAAGGCCAGAAAGAATAAGCAACAAGAAACTCTGGCCTGGCAACGAACCAACCAACAACCTGTCGCCTAACAAATATGCAGAAGAAAGTGGAGATGGATTGGATTGGACATACATTGAGAAGAAAATTTGAGGGCATCACGCGGCAGGCCAAGCCATCAGGTGGAACTCAAAGGGTAAACGACAAGTTGGGTGTCCAACGGTGACATGGAGGAGATGGTGTGAGGAAGAAATGAAAGGTGATGGGCAGTAGTGCAGCCAGGTTTAAAAGACTGCAGAGAAGAGAGTACTATGGAGACGTGCTACTGAAGCTTTATGGTTGCATTATGAATACAAGGGACAAATAATAATAACTGACATACATTATAGCTAAGTTGGCATAAAGCTATTTCTTTGAAACCACACCGATCTGATGCAACTTCCCTAGTTAATGGTAGGCGCATTTCACCACTTCACTCTATATCATTAAACTGGGAGTACTCGGAGCAGTACAGTCCTGAGGCATCATCCTATATTTGACAAATGTGAAACATATGCCAAACATACTCAGATTTTGGCTCAACAAATTCACAAGATCCTCCATTCTGTCAGTGTCTTCATGCAACAGGACAATAACATCTGCATATTCCAAGTAAACTACATGGCCTTCATGGATCAGGTTAATCTCTACCAAGTCAGACCTACGTAGGGTTATGTCTATTAATACGTCTATAATAATGAGGTTAAATAAGAACGGTGACAGTGGGCATAATTCATGAAAATATCACCCCCACCTCAGATGCCCAACTCATCGTTTCCCATTCAGATTCTACTCCACGGCCTGGTGCGTGATGTCCTCAAATGGTCTTCTCAGTGTATGCCCGATCCATTTCCAGTTTTTTCCTCTGCATATTTGTTAGGCGACAAGTTGTTGGTTGGTTCGTTGCAAGGCATAGTTCCTTGTTGCTTATTCTTATTATTCTGGCCATCTGATCTTCAGCATCGAGCGTAGGCAGCTATAGATGTAGGTCTGTAGTTTGTTGGAAATGCCTTTTATAACTGAATTGGTGTTGAAAATCCGGATCTTACGGGTCACATTAAAACGACTAAATTTCATTATATAAATTACCGCTTTATTCATTTATTTACACCCTTTTTATTCAAGTCAATTACAGACAGTTTGTTGGCATCATGCATACTCTACTTTTATATACGTAATTACTTTTAGCCTCATTAAACAATGAATTTAACTAACTTACCCGATATAAAACAAATCCTATAGATGCTAATCGTGGAGCACGATGACGTAATCGACGACGATCAGCTTGCATAAGAGCAATTACAATAGTAGCAAATCCATCAGAATCATTGGGATCAGATGAATTGATAACTAATCGAAATTGTGGATTTGCCCAATGACTTGAACGAATATATGGTCGACCACCACATGATACACCACGAAGCCATCGACCACGTAAATGTATTGATAGAAATTGATGTGAAGAATGATAAGTAATAGATGATTTAGAGGTGATTGGAGGTGGTTCTGTAAGATGACAGATATCCAGATAATCGAAATTGGCAATAAAATCTTCTAGAGACATCCTTAATGCAATAGACAAATATATATATACATATATTACAAACATTGCATAGTACATAGAGAAATGATATAAAAATAAACAAGTTAGCTGCTCTATAGACATAATTACCTAGTAAACAGTTGATATCATGAAGTAGTAGTAACCCAATAGAGACATCCAGTTTCATCTTTATTTTTCAGTCATATCAAACAGTCACCGTAGTAATAAACATTCACACTCTGTAGAAGGGATCAACAGTGCATTCTGTTTATTACGTTATGATTTCCATTGATTCCTTAAGTTGTATCACAATAACTGATTGAAACAATCATCTTCTGGTATCCAAATCTTTCAAAGAAGATCAAAATCTCCCGAAGTCTTTCATAACCTATCATTATACTCTGAATATCCAAGAAAAGATATATGATCAACAGAGGTTACTCTTTGAAATATACTGAAAAATAACCAAAACCATTATTTCAAGTTGTTATTCATCGAAGACTGACATCAGTTGGAGGAACAAAGGAAACCTGGGAGCACTGGACAGCTGTTTCGTCCAACTAGTATGGGACTGCTCAGCAGCGCGCACCCACGAACCCACCAACAGGGATCGAACCCGCCACCTTCAGGTTCCGCGACCAGCGCGTTACCATTAGCGCAAACCACCACCCAATGTCATCGTTGACTATTTGTCCTCACGGCCATCAGGCTTTGACTCCACCGGTAACGACTTGTCATTGGAACTTCGGGAATACTTCTCGAAGCTAGTCACCAACGATGAATAACAACTTGAAATATTTCCAAATCTCCACAACCCCCTCAAAACCATTATGTTGTACATGTTTTGATGCTGCAGTACACATTCTGCTTGGATACTTACATTTCTGAGGAGTTGAGAAAGCATCAAGGTTAATATTTAAAGGATATTCTTCAAGAATTCAAAAGTATATTACCTATATCTGACTGATTGGCTGACAAAATCAACGTAGAACCTTGCAAGTAAATTCATCACCTCTAGTTTCCGCAATTCACAGAACTAAGCAATGAATATGTGGATATAAAAACAGTGATATAAATGCAGATAAAGTGATGTGAGAGAACAAACAATCTGAAGATAAAAGTAAGTGTGGAGAAGAAGCATTAGAAAATGTCAAGAAAGAACGAGATCTGCATAATTGTGACCGATTTTCCGCCGTCACCTAGTATCTTCAACCATTGATTCCTTTCGTCTTGGAGACAACAACCAGGTAGTTTACGTCTTCCTATAAAGATCAAACTAGCAGCTAAAGACTTTATCGACTGGAGACCCTTCTTATTTTCACAACTTAATCTAACTTTCCCTCTCACGGCACGTCGAGGTAGAGATGGATCGGCATGCACAGTACATGTCAAAGCCATCTCAGTTGATGAAGGTTTACAACCTCATTAATTGGCTCACCTAACCTCGATATTACTCACACGGTGATTCCACCAAACTCCAGCAATGCTACGAAGCCACTCTGTAACCGCTACACAACTACTACTTTCAACGGCCATGTCTCATGGTCATACAACGCGACAGAACGGACTGCAGCACAGTATACTCGCCCTTTGACATAAGTTGGCAAGTGTAAAACAGGCCTTCTGTATCCAAGCTGAGATTTCATCAGCAAGTGATCCACACATTGTACTACTTCAATCTCTATTACTAATCTGAAAGTCGTTGCAGACCAATCATTTCTCCTCAAGGAGATCAGAAAACCCTGGATTTTGTCAGCGTCTTCACCTAGCAGTACAATAAAGTCTGAACACTCCACATCAACTAGATAATCTCCACGGAGTAGGTCAATCCCCCTCAGGTCACAATTACCTAAAGTCATATCCATTAGTACGTCTATGATGAAGTTAAATAGGAACAATGACATTAAACATCCCTGCCAAACATTACTAGTTGCTGTCAACTCACTTGACAACGCTTCATAAGCTATATCAGGTCACACTACATTACTCTTTTGTCTCATGGGTAAGTACGGAACAGAATAGCCAGGATAGAAAAAGCAAGACAGGCGTTCATTAATCTGAAACCAGTGTGGAGATCTACTTCACTCAGCATACAGAACAATATCCGGATTTTCAACACCAACATAAGTCAAATCAGTGCTTCTGTATGAATCAGAGACTTGGCGCGTTACGAAACGGATTTCTAACAAATTACAGACATTCATCAACAACTGCCATCTACACTGGCTCCTTACTGAAGATGGAGATCAGATCGCCACAAAGAATCAGCAACAACCAACTCTGGAAACGAACAAACCAACAACTTATCCCTCAACAAATATGCAGAACGAAGTGGAAATCGATTGGATTGGGCATACACTGAGAAAGCTGACTGGGGACATCGCGTGCCAGGCCAGGGTACTGCAACAATCAGTGAAAGACAGGACTCCGATACTAGACACATCTAAATGCACATTTCAATTCGTATGTACCTGCGGAAGCAAACATATTGGTCGTACGGAGAGACATCTGTCTACCCAAATGGTTGAAGCATACGAAGAAGAAGACCCCGAGGAGTCGGATAAAGAAACACCTAATGGATTATGAGCATGATATTCACATGTTTAAGTCTTTTACGGTTATCAGTAGGCAGCAAAGTAAGAAATTGTTTGCAATTGCAGAAGCTTGCACGACTCTAGTTGTCAAGCCAAACTTCTACATTAAGAAGGAAATGGTAGTCAGGTTGAATTTGCCGTGGTAGGAGTTACAACGTCGTCTAATCATATTCAATCTTTCTTATTTGCTTTTCGTTACGAAAGGCATTTCCAATAAATTACAGACATTCATCAACAACTGCCATCTACACTGGCTCCTTACTGAAGATGGAGATCACATCGCCACAAAGAATCAGCAACAACCAACTCTGGAAAAGAACAAACCAACAACTTATCCCTCAACAAATATGCAGAACGAAGTGGAAATGGATTGGATTGGGCATACACTGAGAAAGCTGACTGGGGACATCGCGTGCCAGGCCAGTGGCTCGACTGGAACCCAAATGGGAAGCGACGAGTTGGGTGTCTGAGGGTGACATGGAGGAGATCTTGTGAGGAAGAAATGAGAGCTTGTGGGCAGTCGTGGAGACAGGTTCGAAAGATTGTAGAGAACAGAGTGCACTGGAGACGTGCTACTGAAGCCGTATGTTCCATTAGGAACCCAAGGGACAAATAATAATGATAATAATAATAATAATAATGTTGAATATAGATATATGTGAGTAAGATTTATGGAATAAGCATTGTTACCGATAAGTCATTTAATTTATGCTTGAAAAGAATTTGAAGAAAATGATTTAACATTATACCATTTGTATGTTGCCTTTTTTATGCCTAAAGTATAACATTTGATTGTAAACTTCTAGGGATATATACAAGCATGAATTATTGATAAATTATATAATACATATGCACGAAGATTTAACTGTGTATAAACTTCTTGGAATTGAGAACATTATTTTCACTTAGGTTTTATCTCTTACTTATCCTTTGTATTTGTATGCTTAAGTATGTAAACTATATTATAGGGATCAAGAGATGCACCATACACAAATATCCTTTCATCCTATAGTCATCTTTCCGCACTTCCTCCAACCAGTCACAGGGCAAACAAACAATGAACAGTGAGGGAACTACTAGAATGTTCAAACCATTAAACCCAATGTCTCGTAAGTGCTAATCAATGCTCATTTATAGTTTCTGGAAGTTTAACAGCTAATTTTGAATTGATTTCCGTTTCGTATTTAGCTATAATACTACGCTCAAGTAGTTCATTTACACTAACACTTCTCCTATGAATGAAAATTTTAATCATCAATAAAACGCGAAATGAACTCAGTAAACTTTAAGAGGCATAATCGGAGTTCAGACATACGGTTAAGAATAAATGACAGCTCCGAATACACCCACGCCATCGGTGGTATATAAGTATGCTATCTAGGTATGCACACTATGCAGCTCAGAATCATTTAAGGACCCACTGATATCTATAGGTAGGGAGACAAGTAAAAACATCAGAACTCATTAGTACTACTGTAATCTAAGTTAAGAAAGAATGGTGATCATTAGTTGCGGCGGACAGCTGTTACATCCTATATGAGACTTTGACCTTGACACTGATCACATGATGATTCCACTATACGTGGATAATGCTATGAAGACACATATCATCAAAAACCTGTAATCTCTTCATATCTTCCACTTTTAATGGCTTGAGTTTGGTGGAATCATTGTGAGAGGAATTCTGAGGTCAGGTGAAGGGTACTAGGCAAGACAACCAAGTCGACCGATGAGGTTGTCAACCTTAATCGACTAATATGGCTTGGACATGTACTGTGCATACCGAGCAACCACTTACCTCGACGTACTATGCTACGAGAAGTTCGATTAAGCTGGAAGTGGGGAGATCAAGACGTGGCACCTACTGATGAAGTCCCTGACCGCTAGTGTGAGCCGTATGAGGAGATGTCGAATGCCTAGTTGGGGTCCCCGAGATGATAAAACCCAGCGGTTGAGGACTGATTCTTGGTGACATGGTTGAAAATCACTCACTATAGTGCACATATATTCACTCACTGACATTTTCTAACGCTTCTTCCCCACACTTACCATATCTCCAGATTGTCAATTCCCTCGCAAAACTTTGTCTACTTTGACCTCGCTCTTTTTCTATACACTTGTTCTTTGTATACTACTTTGGAGTGCGGTAACGTCAGCCGATCCACCACTCATGTGCAAGGTTCCATATTGATTTTTTCAGTCAGTCAATCAGTCAGTAATACTTATGCCTCACAGCCATACTTTGCTTAATGTTACACCAACAATTAACTACTAAATCCTAATGAATGGAAACCAAGTGAACAGATACACAAGGTAGATAGTGCAGTTGATCTTTAAGTGTGAATCCAAGTGGAACTGAACCTCGTTACACTTTGTCACTGGCTTTGAAGGCATTGGTAGTGGTTAAAGGTTATTACCGTCACGTTCATGCACTAACGTATTCGTCAAGCTTGTCCTATAATGACGTAATCTTAAAGACCATATGTGATGCAACATGCCTCTTTTTTAAAAATCACCTGACTATAAATCATTTTCTGAAATAAATTTATAAGGAAGAATCCAGGACGCGTGTTTCGTCCTATTTGGGACTTGTCAGCTGGATGTACCTGCACACCAGTGATGTTGTTCCCATTGAGACTCAAACGTCGTATCCATCGCTTCCAACATCAAGGTGTTATCCACTATGCCATGAAGGAACGATAGTCACTTCTTGTACAACACGTAGTAGTTATTACTATTGACATACTTGTTATTCTCCGTTGTTTTGTTGGATCGAATTGTTTGACCACTATTGGCACATGGGCTCCTTGTAGATGCCTCGATATTGCCTGAATGTTAATTATGGTGATTTGATTGGTTGTGGCTAGCAGAAGAATCGAGGATACGCGTTTCGTCCTAATTAGGACTCGTCAGCAGGACGTACCTGCACTCCAGTGATTTTTTTCTACTGAGACTCGAACCTACTACCCATCGCTTCAAACGCTTCAAACAAACCAAATTTTCAGAATTAACATTCAGGCAATATCGGCGCATCCGCATAGGAGCCTATATGTTAATAGAGGTCGAACAATTCGATCCAACAAAACAACGCAGAATAAACTTATGAGGGTCACAATAACATCTTTAATCTTTGCCAGTTCCTCAAACCACTTACCTTACATATGACATGTAACCAGCTGTATTATAGATAGGGTAAAGGTAAAGACGGCACAGACTTTTAACGGTTTAACAGTGTATAGTTTAAAATATGATAAGAATTGAGTATTTCTATCTGAATTCGATTACAAGTGACCCCTCAGTTTATTCCATTGTCGATATCATTGAGAAGTTTATATAACTGAAACTTGAAAACAGCGTCAACATTTAAGAGGTAAATTGTACACTGGAAATTAGAAGTTTACACATTTGAAAACAATCTAACAATTATTGATGAACACCATACTTACTATATTCAATTTGAAATAAATTCATATAGAGTATACTTACCAAAATTCTTCTTGAGATTTTACTAAGCCAACTTTTAAACGATCTTGTGGTGGAAGACTAAGCCATTCTGTTGAACCTTCTGACCATGCACCTGTCCAATCAACACGTACTGAAGGCCATAAATTTCTTAAACGAACTAAACGTATTAAACGACTTCCTGAAGCATCTGTAAGCCGAAGTTTTCTACAGTCTGTTAAACCAAATGCTTGACCCGGTACAAAACCTACTGGTATCACAAAACCTGGACCAGGTACACCTTTAGTCTAATTTAAGAGATAGAGAGTGAAAGAGGAAAAAAAACCCAAAAAAAATAAACCATTTGATTCATGAACAAGAGGAAAACTTTTCAGTATGAGAGAATTACGAAAATGGAATCCAAGACAGGCATTTCATTCTGTTTGGGACTCGTCGGTTTAATATGCCTGCATTCCAGTGAGTGGTGTTGCCCCCATTGCAGTCCGAACCCCGTAACCATCGCTTCGAACGCCAAAACGTTATCCACTAAGCAACTGGGGTCACGACAACCACCTCTTAAGCAACGGATATCAGCTGTTGTTTGCTATTCGGTATAAGAAGTTGGTCTTGTGCTCCAGTGGATTACGTTTAAGCGCTTAAAGTCATGAGCACCAGGGTTCGAGTCCAGCTGAAGAGTCCCAGACAGGACAAAACCCGTATTCTGTATTCCTTTGCTAGTCAACAAGATGAATACAATATAATAAATATTTGGCAACATCAAGTCATCCACATACGAATGCATCTGTCAACACAGTTTGAGCAATTCAACTCTGCATAGCAACGAGAAATTAAAACAATCACAATATTTTAAGTATCAATTCAGTTTTAGAATAGAACACCTATTGAAAGGTTGATTTAAGCTTAATTACAAACTATTGACATGGTTACTGATGCAAAAACACTTTTAAGTCAGCAAAGAGAAAGAAACAGCTTTTCAATAACCACTTTTTATTCCAAGTTGTTATTCATCGAAGACTGACATCAGTTGGAGGAACAAAGGAAACCTGGCAGCACTGGACAGCTGTTTCATCCAACTAGTATGGGACTCCTCAGCAGTGCGCACCCACGAACCCACCAGCAGGGATCGAACCCGCCACCTTCAGGTTCCGTGGCCAGTGCGTCACCATTGAGCCACTGGGTCACAATCCAATGCTCCATATTTCCAATTTCTGTTAGCTCACGATATAGCGCAAACCGCCACCCAATGTCATCGTTGAGTATTTGTCCTCACGACCATCAGGCTTTGACTCCACCGGTCACGACTTGTCATTGGAGCTTCGGGAATACTTCTCGAAGCTAATCACCAACGAGCACTAGTTCAATTAAATTTTGAGGGGGTTGTGGAGATTTGGAAATATTTCAAGTTGTTATTCAATAATTCTTCCATCATTGAAACTCATCTACAAGGCTACTTCAAAGAATATATTCCATAGATTTCGACTTAAAAGAGGAAAAAAAAAAGTAACCGCTTCTCTGGATTAAGTTAACATATCCTACAATATAAATAAATTCTTACTGTTTATAAATTGGTCAATTACTACACAGTTTAATCTTCAATAAGATTCTCCTAATACTAGACCTGTAGTCTACTAGGCGTTATAAATAAATTTAGTATGGATAGAATGCTCATTTGTTGACACTATGTAAAACATTGAAAACCAAAGCGTAGTATTTGACAATCTCAACAGTATTTTCATATAACTCTATACTTTAATTTACCCTATTTTATTTCTTAAACACTTGACATCAAGTATTGTTATAATGTCAGATAAGTCAATTTTTTGTCAAGATAAAAACAAGTGGTTAGATAAAATGCTATTTATAAAGGGGAAAATGTTAGCATCTGTTTGTTTATTTCTCTTGTTTATTTACTAAATGAAGAGTTTTTACAGGTCAAATGGTAATGCAAACCTAAATCTGACCTTTATGATTGATTATGAAGAAAATGATATGATTAGATTCTTAGATATTTCATTAGTGAAAAGAATCCATGGATCCATTGAAAGTTGCTTTATGGACAGAACAATATCTATATTTTAGGAGCTTTATCTCGATCCAATACAAAGTGGATATAATCAGAACGTTATTCAATAAAGACAGGAAAATTTGCTTCGACAGTATACTAAACTACAAAATGGTGACTTTTAAAAACGTACTAGTGAAGAATGGGTACACCCAGAAAGCTTTATTAACCAGTACTCAAAATAGGTAGAAAGCACAACAACATCCTCAACACTACAGGGAAAGTCAGTCTATAACATATTGCCATTCAAAGGTGACGACATGCTAGAAGTAGTTAGACGAAGACTAGAGAAGTCTATCAGAAGAAGTTACTATGCTGTTAAACTCGTCCCCCTCAGTACCATCAAAAGGGTACTGCAACAATCAGTGAAAGACAGGACTCCGATACTAGACACATCTAAATGCACATTTCAATTCGTATGTACCTGCGGAAGCAAACATATTGGTCGTACGGAGAGACATCTGTCTACCCAAATGGTTGAAGCATACGAAGAAGAAGACCCCGAGGAGTCGGATAAAGAAACACCTAATGGATTATGAGCATGATATTCACATGTTTAAGTCTTTTACGGTTATCAGTAGGCAGCAAAGTAAGAAATTGTTTGCAATTGCAGAAGCCTGCACGATTCTAGTTGTCAAGCCAAACTTCTACATTAAGAAGGAAATGGTAGTCAGGTTGAATTTGCCGTGGTAGGAGTTACAACGTCGTCTAATCATATTCAATCTTTCTTATTTGCTTTTCGTTACGAAAGGCATTTCCAATAAATTACAGACATTCATCAACAACTGCCATCTACACTGGCTCCTTACTGAAGATGGAGATCAGATCGCCACAAAGAATCAGCAACAACCAACTCTGGAAAAGAACAAACCAACAACTTATCCCTCAACAAATATGCAGAACGAAGTGGAAATGGATTGGATTGGGCATACTCTGAGAAAGCTGACTGGGGACATCGTGTGCCAGGCCAGTGGCTCAACTGGAACCCAGATGGGAAGCGACGAGTTGGGTGTCCGAGGGTGACATGGAGGAGATCTTGTGGGCAGTCGTGGAGACAGGTTCGAAAGATTGTAGAGAACAGAGTGCACCGGAGACGTGCTACTGAAGCCGTATGTTTCATTAGGAACCCAAGGGATAAATAATAATAATAATTGTATTTTTGTTAGCCTTCCCTGATTTGTTTTGCCGAATTAACCTTATCCCTATTAGCACTGTTATCATTAATAATCGTCTCTGTATGCACCTGGCTTTTTTATTATATCCAGACAGGTACCATCAACTATCGATTCAGTTCTCATCCGAATGTCAACATTATTATTGTTATTATCTATACTCGATGATGACTGAAGGTGAAACGTGTTAGAGCAGAAATCATACATCAACTTTCTAACAGTTAAAAATCCCATTTCAATAATTTAACTAACAATATTCTTTATATTACTTAAATTTTTATAAGTTAAATATTCCTCACGGATTACAATCTTCAAATATCATATATACGAATGTATAACTTGAGAATAAATTCGTTGAAAAGAGTCCTCTTTGTTGAATATCGGGTGAGGCTAAAAGTATTCCCTACATGTTATCATGTTCAGTTGCAAGGTTGCTTGGGAAAACATGAACATTGTCTGTGTTCTATACAAATATTTCACCTATTTATGCAGATTTTACAATGCAGTTTGTCATTTAATCGTGTTTCAAACTGTTTATTCATGTGCAAAGTGTACTTCCACTTCCTCGGGAGAAAAGTAAGTACAGTTATTCAAGATGAATGATACTCACTAACCACAGTGAGCTAGATGAAGCTTTAAATTACATCCAAAAGGATTTATAACTACAGTTTTCATTTCACAATATACCTACCTATACAGAACACACAGAATGGATATTTTGAGACAAAATTCCAAAACATATGGAGATAAGTACAATTGTTTTTATATGATACCGTCGTTGATTGGACCGAATTGATCGATCTCTGTTAGCAAATGGGGTCCTGTGTGAATGCTTCGATACTGCCAGCTTTCTAACTGTTAATGATGGATCGTGGCTAGCAGTGGAATCCAGGATGAGCATTTCGTCCTATTTGGGACTCGTCAGCTGGATGTACCTGCTTCCTAGTGAGTGACGTTGTTCCCACCGGGATTCGGTATCATATAAAACAATTATACTAAAAACTATACCTGTCTCACAAGAAGTGGCTATCGTGGCTCGGTGGTGTAGTGGATAACGTGTTGGCGTTTGAAGCGATCGCTCCTGAGTCCGAAGCCCGGTGGGAACAACATTACTCACTGGGAAGCAGGTACATCCAGCTGACGAGTCCCAAATAGGACGAAGTGCGCATCCTGGATTCCACTGCTATCCACTACCCATCATTAATATATGACGCAAACCTGTAGTCTCACTCTTGAATATCTCGTTTTTGATTTCAAATGTATAACAAATTCAAAGGAATGTTGACAACATCCTGATTGGTTACTTCCGTAGTTTTTAAAGTGGCCTTTAAAGTTGCTCATCTTAAACTCCATTAACTGTTTAAGTTTTTGTAAAATTTAATGTAACCTAATTTTCGACTACGAAAAAAAACGGGTGGCTTTAAAGTCTACCCTAGCAACTGATTAGACAGCCAATTACATTTCTTTATTTTTTTTATGGAAAAATGTTTACCCATGCGAAATATCGAAGCCTGATTCGTCCATTCAGCAGTTGCCATGGTAAACGCTAAAGTCACCTAAAAAAATTGGTTAACTGCACAACACCTGTCAGTGAACACTTTTTAACCACTTGAAGCATATATATATATCTTATATATTATATTGTTTTTTTTTAAATTATGGCACTTTAAGGTGGTGGGTGCTTGATGAAACGCTCAGCAAAAAATATATATTCGATATAAGTGATGGTTAATGGCTAGCAGTGTAATCAAGGGTGTGTTTCGTCCTATCCGGGACTCATCAGCTGAATAAAACTGCCTCCCAGTGAATGATTTGGTTTTTTAACTGACACTTGGATCTAGGAGAAAAAACTTTGTACATCAAAACGTTATCCACTACCCCAGTGAGTCACTACAGCCAAATTTATCAGCTACTATTAGCATATAAGCAATGCTACTAATGTAGGGATCATTATGAAATGAAATCAAGTCATATATACATACGAAAACTTCATTTTGTCACCCTCATAATGTTTACCAGAGTATTTAAAGAATTCAATGAATTAACACACCTTTATACGAGCTGTAATTAAACTTCGCCGATCAAAAGACTTAATTAAGATATCATCTAAATCTGATGGAGGTTGAAGTCCTTGATCTTCTGCATTTGGTAGTGTATACGATTCTGTTAAACCACCGGTAAGATCATCCATTGCATCACCGACAAGTCCAACATTTAATGCTTCATAAGATCCATTTAGTCTAAAATGTATGATAATATATTAAAAATTTAGTTGAGTTGTTCATGATAAAAATTGAATTTTTTTTTTTAGAAGGAATATGAAAGACATGATCTTGGAAACAACTTCATTAGAAGATGTGTATATAGTGAAAACTATCAGTGATTCTTCTTCAAAGATAAATTTATCTGATATTTCATGTTTCTAATTCAGTTATTTTCTAGTCATCGATGGAAGAATAGGACATCGGTGCAGAAACTGTCCTGAGTTGCAAAAGCATAGAAATTGTAGAAAACGTAATATATATATATACCAACATAGGACCAGGCATTACTACGTAACCGTCTAACTTGCCACACCTCATATCAGTACATCAAGTAGAAAGGTAGTGAGGTGAAAGATGAAGTGAAGATAAGGGAACGCAGTCAAAAGAAATATAGAGTAAGAGAAGAAAGGAAGGAGTGACAAAATGGTGAGATTCGGTATAGCGTTGTTAAGATGAGGATAATGTGTGTATACATCTGCCCCACCGACATCGGTTCTGAGCCATATCACCTAGGGTCTCCAACCACTGATTCCTCTTGTCCCGTGGACCCCAACCACTTAGTCTGCATCGTCCTACATGGCTCAAACCAACAGTCAGAGACTCCATGCGTTGATGCCATGTTTCAATCTGGCCACCTCGGGCCTCTTTCCAGCCTGAACCTACTTCGGTCAACATTGTGTGATGAGGCAATCGGTGACTAAGCATACGTAGTACGTGTCCCAACCATCTCAATTGATGTAAGTTTATAACCTCATCAACTGACTTACCTCTACTCCCTAAAACTCTACACCTAACTTCTGCATTACTCACATGGTGACACCATGGAATACGGCCTATACTACGAAGTCAACGGTGGTCAAACACTTAGTCTTCTTATATCTTCCACTTTCAATGACCATGTTTCATCACAGCCATACAGTAGAACAGAGCAGACTGCTGTGCAGTACACGCGACCCTTAGTAAACAAATGGATATCACGGCAGCGCCATAGGTGGCGTAAAGTGGCAAAAGTCAATCGAGCCTTTTGTATCCGTGCAGAGATTTCATCGGCCACTGACCCACCAGGGCTGATCCTACTTCCCAGGTAAGTGAAGTGGTCAACACACTCAACCACTTCACTCTCTCTCTCTCTCTCTCTCTCTCTCTACCGACCCATTAACATCAAGTGTTAACGGTAGGCAGGAATATATATATATATATATATATATATATATATATATATATATATATATATATATATATATATATATATATATATATATATATATCCTTGCCTACCGTTAACACTGGATGTTAATGGGTCGGTAGATAAAAGAGAAACTTATTCTAGAATGCAAGTGAATGGGTGAAGAATGACTTAATGAATCAATGTAGACGCTGCAGGTATAGTGACAGGGCAATAACAATATCAGAGTATAAGGTTATGCACCGTATCAATTCAGACTGTAGATGGCCATACATTAAAAGTGGCAGGGATATGTGACTATGTCAATGAATGCACCACTTGTTTTTTGAGATAACTCACTGCTGATTTCTTATGAGAAAGGAACTCAGTCAAGGATATAGAAAAAAACAGAGAGAGAACTACAAAATATTCAATTTCACAAATACAGACAAGCTCAGTTATCAGTTTATAAAACATCTATATCCAATTAGAGCAAATGGTACCGCCTGATTGTAAACCAGTATGTAATCGAAGTCAAAAAAAAGTCCAAAATGTATGCAACAATCTACTCCACATTCATGCAGTAGGTAAAGAGCCACACCTATTATGTGAGGGATAAGGATGTTTTGACCTTGCTGCCTAAATTTGGATGATAGGTGAACTCGGGTTCGAACCACTGACCCATTAGTTGAAAGTCATCTTCCTATACCAATAACAATAATAATAATGACTCACTTTATTCCAAACAATTTGTGGTACAATTCGGAATTCTCAGCATGATATATTGCAACAACAACAAAATATAACTGTATGCCCATACTCCTTTACAACATTTCGAATTGTTTTATTATAAAAATTTAAGTAATGTAAAGAATATTAAAAATGAGAAAACTCTACATTGTTAGTTAAATTATTGAAATGGGATTTTTAACTGTTACAAAGTTGATGTGTGATTCCTGTTCTAACACACTTTTTTCCTCACAAAATATGCGTGCCGGGTAAGGTACAGTCAAATTCTTATACTTAACTGTACGAGCATACAGTCTTATGTAGTTACTCCTTGTCCTCCCTGAGGAGATATATGGAGAAAGCTGTGAATGAAGTGGATGCTCACTGTCAGTTAAAATTTCTGTAGCTAGTAGCTTGCAGGAATTTATATGTCGATCAACTACAGTGTTAATCAGTTGAGCCAGAGACACACTACTCACCCTGCTGACAGTCTTCAAAACCCTATGCAACATAACATAGTCCTTTTTTTAGAAGACCGGGAAAGACTAATGGGGAACAATATAGAAGAATAGGTAAAATGCAGGAATTAATAAATTGTAAAAGAAACAGTTGAGTTATACCAGAGAGTTTCAGTTTTTTTATGTAATAAGTTAAACGAGAGTTTTTTTTAAAGTCAACAAAATATGGGATGACCAACAAAGGTCAGAAGTAAAACCCAACTCAAGATAGTTCACGCTTGATTTACTTTCTGCAGAAATACCATCAATGCAGCAGGTGTCATGAGATTTAAACAGCTCACATAAGTCTTGTCTACGTCTTAGACTAAAATTAATAGTCTGAGAGACCATTGACACACTACAGACAAAAATTCATTTAGTTTAGAGCAAACTAAGTGTGAGTTAACTGGAACAGACACCATCAGGTTATCAGCATACTTAATAAAATTAGTTTCAACAGAATAAGGTGATAAACCATGCAAAAAAACGAGAATAGAAAAGAAGAAAGTACAGCACCATATAACACACCAGCTGCAGTAACCAATGAAGTCGAATGTACTGTTTCCTTTCAGAAAAATAAGAATACAGCTACTTTGTGAATATATGATCTGGTTAAACAGGAAATTAAACAGAAAATTAATAAAACAATAATATAATACTAACTTTGCATAAGCTTTTTCTAATAATGTTGGCCAAAATTCAGTTAAACGTCCAGAATGTACAAATAATGGTTGACCACCAGGTCTAACTGGTAAACGATCATCAATATACACTTCTTCCCAACGTCCAAAACGCCAAAAACGAAAAGCAAATATACCAGCATACCATTCTACTCTAAATGATTGTCCAGTAGGAATAGTACGACTAAGTAGACTTGGTTGACTAGCTATAGCAGCCAATGCAGCAACAACCCAACAGTCTCCTATAAAATTTTCACATTATACACATATATGTATAAATATACATATATAATATGAAATTTATAAACGGATTTAAATGTAATTGTAATATTCCAGATGACTAAAAAATTAGGTATATAAACAATGATTATCACTAATATGTGACTATCAAGACGGCAGCTTAGGAAAATTCATCTACCTTTATATTTATTACTATTAACTGTCCATTGGATTCCTAATGGAATATATAGCTACAGTAGCACGTCGCTATTTCACTCTCTTCTCTGAAGTTATCGTAACCTGGCTCCACGACTCCAAAGAAGCTTTCACGTGATCTTCACCATGTCACCCTCGAACGACTAACTCATCGTTTCCCATGTGGGTTTCACTTGAGAGCTTGGTTTGATGCGTCCCAAAACGATCTTCTCAGTGTATGTTCAATACAACCTATCTTCACTTTCTTCTGGATATTTGTTAGGCGATAGGTTGTTGATTGGTTGGTTTGTTGCCAGTAAGAGTTCCTCCTAGCTTATTCTTATTATTTTGGCCATGTGATCTGATCTTCAATATCGTGTGAATGTAGGCGGTAGCTGCTGATGTATTTCTGCAGTTTGTTGGAAATGCTTTTCGTAACTCACCATGTTTCTCAACTATCATATGGAAGCACTGACTTGACCGAATTAGTGCTGAAAATCCAGATCTTCTTTATGCTGAGTGCAGTGCAGTAGATCTTCACACTGACTATTTCAGATTAATGAAGGAAAGCGTGTCTTGTTGTCTTTCTGATCCTACCTTTGACGTCTTCATCATTGCCATCTGTAGTTGAAAGGATGCCGCTTAGCTAGGTAGGTGGGTGGAAGAGACAACTTCTTTTGCATTTCTTCCGTTGATGGTGATTGGGGCTAGTTGTTGTTGGTGGTGGTTTAGTGTCTTCATCACCTCTGTCTTCTCTATGTTCACTTGAAGGAAGTACCGTCTTCGCTGCATTGCCTCTTCTGTCAACTTGTTAGTCTTCGTCTGCAAATCTTCGAATTTGTGCTCCACAAAACATTGAACATAAATCATCATCGTCGATGAAATCCAAATGTTTTATGGTCTTTTCATCGGTCAGACAGCGTATACCCATTTTCTCACAGCTCCTCACAATTTGTTGCATGATCCAATCCAGTCAAGTCAACTGCAATCAGGAAGATCATCGGTGATAGTAAGTAACTTTGTCTTATTCTTGTCTTCACTTCAAAGGTGACCTACCTTTATATTAAAAAAGTCTTATGATCATTACTTAACAAATCAAAGATTTCACTTACTGAAGTTATACAATCAGAAGGGACATCAATTCTATCGAAATTGTAGATAAACCTTGCTAATGAGCGCCAGTAAGCACGAAACTTATCTCTATTGTTTTCTGTCGGTTGTCTTCAACTAGTTATCAACCATCAAAAATTCACTATGATGATGAGCCTCCTACGTTGGTGGCCACATTGCAAACATGATTGATAGAATTCGGTGAGCACTCAACATGAAACTGATTAATGCATACATAAAATTATTCCAAACAAATAATAGTCTAGAAGTAATCATTAGGTATCCATTATTAATATTATATTCTAAAATAGTATAGAAGATTTCTAAAGGCAGAAGAAAGTTAGTAAATTGGCTATGGTAAGGCTAATGAATGCACGTAATGTTTTTGAACGCAGAGATCAACTTCGCAGCTGTGGATAGTCAATAATTTGACAATGGTCTATATTTCCAACTTCTATCAATTCATGACATACTGTGACCATCACCAGATGTTATCATTGACTATTTGTCTTCATGACCACCAGGTTTTCATCACTGGTCACGATTTCTCATTGGAACTTCGGGAATCACCTCTCGAAACAAGTCACCGATGAGCACTAGTTCAATTGAATTTGGGGGCTTGTGAGGAGTTAGAGAGATTTTTCCAGTTGGTATTCATCATGGACTTACATGAGTTGGAGGAACACTGGGAAAATCAGAGCACTGCATAACTGTTTCATCCTAGTATGGGTAAGTTCGAGACTGTGAGGTCAAATAAGCTGGTCGGGATCATTTAGATTAGTGGGGAATATAGGAATTTAGCTAAGCATAGAATGACAGACCTAAATAAGATCAATAATCTAGAAAGTAACTCGGTTATTGTAATGCATGCATTAATACACAATCACACAATATGATGGTGGATAAAACCAGTGTACTCAAATGCGCAAGGAGAGACAGATGAATAACTGAAGCTTTGTTCTCATTCAATCAACCAAGCCTTAACACATGTAGTAGGAATGACGCAACATCTATACTAAAGATATGAAAAATTTCACTACCGATAAAAACAAAGAATTTCAGGTACGTGACAGGATTATGAAAATCAGATATAGAAAATGATGTGATTACATTAATATGATTATGCTCGAAATGCCATGAGATACATAATACTGTAGCAATGTACCCTGCCTATCAAATAAATGAATCTAATATGGAATTATATTCTACCCAAGTTTTACACTTATATTAAGATGTTACAAAGACATTATTATTTATGTTTAGTAATGATGGGCAGTGGCTAGCAGTGGAATCCAGGATGCGCATTTCGTCCTATTTGGGACTCGTCAGCCGGATGTACCTGCTTCCTAGTGAGTGATGTTGTTCCTACCGGGACTCGGGACATTATTATTGTTATTATTTTTTACAAGAACTGAACATACTTTTATCCAGTTGATAAGATATTATTGATAGGATCAACCGATAGCCCAGATAACGAATAATATTCATGATTTGTGTAGACGTGATCATTAGGAAATATGAAAGGAAGATTAACTAGTATTATTGCTTGTTTTACACCGTCGTTGATTGGACCCAAATGATCAGTCTCTGTTGACATATGGGCTTCTGTGCGGATACCTCGGTATTGCCTGCGTTCTTAACTATATAGTAATGATGGATAGTGGCTAGCAGTGGAATAACACTAAACATATACTCGTTGCACAAGAAGTTGCTATCGTGGCTCGGTGGTGTAGTGGATAACAGTCTCATGTTTGAAGCCATCGCTCCCTAGTCCGAATCCCGGTGGGGACAACATCATCCACTTGGAGGCAGGTATATCCACCTAACTTCTCCCAAATAGGACAAAACGCGCATCCTGGATTCCACTGCTAGCCACTATCCATCATTACTATATAGGAAGATTAACTATTTATAAGACTATAATATTCTAGTCTTGACATAAAAAATTCAAAAGTGGATAGAAATAACAATTAACTACAAATAGAAGATAATCATAGATAGCATAACTTCAAGGATGTTTTGGATTTTCAAAAGCTTGAAGATTAAAAAGAATGGTGTTCAGATAAGCAATTAAAATGAATGGGAGTTTTTAATGTCGAAGTAGTATTCATCATGAACTGACATCAGTTGGGGGAATCATTGAAGATCTGAGAGCACTGGACAGCTATCTCGTCACACTAGTATGGGACTCCCCAACAGTACGCACCCACGACCTGGCTAGGGATCAAACTCAGGACCTTCAGGTTCCACGGCGAACATGTTAACCATTCAGTCACTGAGTCGGTTTCCACTGGTTCACAATTTCCAACATCTGTCAATTCACGACATAACACGACTATCATCCAAGGTCTTCAGTTAGCATCCGCTTCACTCACGACTAGTTGACCCGACAGGTTACGACTTCTCATTAGAGCTTCATGATATCTATCTGGATGCAAGTGACTAATGAGTACTATACAGTAATGTATTTTTCAGATGAATGGAGATTTTAATTTAGAGGTATTATTCATCACGGAGTGACATCAGTTGGAGAACCAGTGGAAATCTGTTAGCAGTGGAATCAACAGTATGCACCCACAACCTGACTAGGAATCGAACTCAGAACCTTCAGATTTCACGGCGAATGTGTTTTCAATGGTTCCCAAACTGATATTAGTCCATAATGAATATTATCTTAAAGTAATTAAGATTTGAAACAAGTCAAAAATATTGCAGGATACAATAACGTAACAAGAGTTTGTATATGTTCCATTGTAAACTGATTACAAAAGCGTAGTGAAGTTGATAATCGTATACTTTCGACTACAAGGATTTAGTTTGAGTTATTGTTTCAATGAAACATAAAAAGCTTGAATTCTTTTGCTTATTGATCACTGAAAGATGTAAGGTACTATCTGTATTCAGTATGTCGTTGGCTATTTAAACTTTCATCTCAAAAATACATAAATCCTTCTGTTTATGTTCTTTCAATTTATATCCTTTAGCATATGCATATAAATTGTTAAATATATTAAAATACAGTGAGAATTCGTTAATGATGGTTAGTGGCTAGCAGTAGAATCTAGGATGCGCATTTCGACCTATTTGGGACTCATCAGCTGGATGTACCAGCTTACCAGTGGATGATGTTGTTCCCACCGGGAAGGCATCCGCACAAAAGCTCATATACTAATAGAAACCGATCAATTCGGCCCAATCAAAGACGGTATCATACAAAAACAATTATACTATAGTGAGAATTTATTTAATTTCTATTACTATAATAAGCAATTCATATGATATAAATAAAGTAGTTGAGCAGTTGGATATACATTCTATTTAGTGTAATATTCAAATCTACTGTGATACACTTCATTCTTTTCATCTTAGATTTACTCTAATCATCAATGAAATCTTGTAGATAATGATGATAATTATGAAAATATTTATCAATAGTGAGAATAATTCCTCCTTAAGTTTTCTCTGCAAGATCAGTTATCCCGTAACCATCCCATTTCTATATATTGTAAGGATAGAAGTTTTTAAACTTTAAAGTTAAGTAGTCTACTCCAATTTCTGCTTTCTATGAATATAACTTTGATTTCTTTCATGTTTATCATATTGAATATCATTGAGAAGATTTTAGTATACGAAATATATCATTAAGATCATTGTAAATGACGAATATATCATCATCATCATCATCAATGTTCTAAGATGTTTGTCCAAAAATAATCCATCTGACTGACAGGAGTTGGAAAAACATCAGGAATCTAAGGGCATAAGACAGTTATTTTGCCCTAGTATGGGACTCCTCAGCAGTGCGTACCCATGAACCCCCCTTCTTAGGATCAGACCTAGGGTCAAAAGTGCGCACTATTGAGGATTCCTATGCTAGAACAAAACAGCTGTCTACTGCTCCCCGGTCTCCGGTGTTCCTCCAACTCCTGTCAGTTCATGATGAATTCCAACCTAAAATATAGGCTTATGGTCGATATATTATTATTATTATTTGTTCCTTGGGTTCCTAGTGTAACATAGGGCTTCAGTAGCACGTCTCCAGTGCACTGTGTTCTCTGCAATCTTTTCAACCTGCCTCCACGACAGCACACAAGCTCTCATTTCTTCCTCACACTATCTCCTAAATGTCACCCTAGCCTCGGACGCCTAACTCTCCGTTTCTCATCTGGGTTCCACTCGAGGGCCTGGTACGTGATGTCCTCGAATGGTCTTCTCAGTGTATGCCCAATCCACCTCCGCTTCCTTCTACATATTTGTTGAGCGATAGGTTCTTGGTCGCTTCGTTGCCAGGTCACAGTTCCTTCTTGCTCATTCTTTCTGGCCATCTGAGCTACAGTAACGAGCCAGCGCAGGCAGTTGTTGATGAATGTCTGTAGTTTGTGAGAAATGCTTTCGTAACGCGCCAAGTCTCTCAGCCATGACATAGAAGCATTGACTTGACACTAGTGTTGAAAATCCGGATGTTGTTTTTTATACTGAGTGCAGAAAATCTCCATACTGGTCGATGTAACATTATTCAATATCACATATCTTCAAAACTTGACATGATATGTAACATTTTAAACGTCCAATATCATAGAAAACTATCATGTATAACTCACCTAATTCCCCTTGTCGTAGTTCACTAAGTTTAATTCCACCTTCACCAATAAATTCTGGTGATATAATTTTTCTTGGTGTTATACCCATAGAACCGCCTCCACTATTTGCAGCAACTATTTCACTTGGACGCATCCATACAATAGGACATGGTGGTCGTTGACTATAATAAAGACTTGAATCATCAGCTGGAAAAGCGGAATCACAAAATAAATGACCTGAACGAAGAAGATCTTGTCGAATCTTTTCAAATGAATTTGATGGTCCACCAACAGGACTAAATATTGTACTTGGTCCACTCATAATCATAGGGCTAGGACTTGCTCCTATAATTGGTAGGTAATATTTTGAAAAGAAACATCATAATATACTTCGTAAAATAATAAAATTACCAAAAGGAGTATAAGATAGTTATTGTGTATGAATGCGCCCCCCTGGCAACAACGTATCTACCTACAGGCTAGACGAAAACATATCAACACCTTATCGTTACATTTTGGCGTCGGAGGTGGAATCCGGTTTGACTGACTTGCACTAAACAGCAACCATAGACTCGAATGTAACTTGCACCAGCTTCATACACCATACCTAGCCTCCAGCTCACTCAAGTACAACCAGACACTTAATACTATTCTTCCAAAAAAAGAGGGAGATAGTGTAACGCTACCCTAAGCAACAACGTACCTGCCTACAGGTTAGATGAAAACGTATCAACAGCTGGTCGTTACAATACTTTACTAATGTGAAACTTTCATATCTAAAGTATATTCAAACCCTTTATCTGATAACTACTCTTTGATGACTATAACTAATCAAGCAAGACACTTCACATAATGAGTTTGACCAGTGACAAATTCTTCTAAGGTTAAAAATCCACACACAACATTTCTAAAGAACTCTGCTAGAAGCACATATGTGTAACTAGGGAATTAAGTAAAGCCAAAGTAAAACTTAATCCTTTAATTGTTCAATTTGATTCAGGCATCTTTACACATCTCAGTTTATTACACTAAATTGAAGCAAAAAAATGAACACATGTGTATTGGTTCAACCTCGCTACCACATTAAAGCATATATTTCTCAAACAGACAGATAAGAAAACATAAAAGCTTATAAACGAAGGGATTCTTCAGGTTCACACACTTCAAATAAACAAACAAATACGAAGGGGATCGAAAAAGATTGTTTAATATGGTAGATAAATGTGTACATATGAAAGGTAGAGCACCGGACCGGCTAAACGCATGCCAAACATACTGGGATTTCTGTTCAGCGCATTCACAAGGTCCTGAATTGCGTCAGCATGTTCACCTAGCAGTAAGTTATCGTCTGCATACCACAAGTTAATTAGATGACCCTGTCATCACAAGCACCTAAGGTCATGTATATTAGTACGTCTATAACGAAGTTAAATAGGAACGGTGACAATGAATATCCCTTGGGAACACCACTATTTGTCGTCAATTGATATGACAACTCTCTATAAGCCCTTGCATGGCTGTATGAGTTCGAGTATTGAGCTTTGCTGAGAGTTATATACTTTCTTGGTACTCCCTTTATAGTAAGACGCCATAATACCTCATGGCTGAAAATTCAAGTCTCCTAGATGAGTCAACAGGGTGCTGAGATAGTAATCTGAAAACTCCTAATTGGAATCCCACAGTGATTTAGGTTTTTCTTACACCTTCAATTTTTACCCAATAGGAAAGTATAGTTCCACAACTATAGACCCATCAGAAGATATGTATTAAGTATACTCGCAAACTAAGTGTTAAAAGTGAGCACACAGATAAACTAAACAAAGTTTCATCATTTACAAGTTCCCCACTAGTGAGATTCGTCTCTTACTGTAAACAATTTTTTCAGAAGATCTTGATATGGTAAAGAGGATATAACGCATTCGAAATCTTACTCACCCATCTTCCAGTTTCGATTTCTAGACAGCTTCACCTCTTCGTTGTCTAGCTCTACCATTCGTCAGTTATTTTTTATTATTAAATGTAAGTACATCCTGTGTACTTGCTGAGTAGTCAAGTCACCTTTTTTTCTTCCTCTTGTCCCTTCCAGATTCTTGTGGTTACCACCAAACTCATACTGCTCTACATGCTCACCTGCAACAACTTACCTACCCATCTACAGGTTAGATGAAAACATATCAACAGCTGGTCGTTACAAGAATCTAGACCATTTTTGAAAAGTCATAAAACATATAAACAGGAAATGTAAATACTAATATCATTTGCAAGAATGACTTCTCAAAAAGATAACAAAATATCACTGCTTTCTATGTCTACCTTAATCCCACTTAACATAGTGTTATAGTAATCTGAAAGCATTAAATTAAAAATCCCCATTCATCTGAAAAATACATTACTGTATAGTACTCATTAGTCACTTGCATCCAGATAGATAACATGAAGCTCTAATGAGAAGTCGTAACCTGTCGGGTCAACTAGTCGTGAGTGAAGCGGATGCTAACTGAAGACCTTGGATGATAGTCGTGTTATGTCGTGAATCGACAGATGTTGGAAATTGTGAACCGGTGGAAACCGACCCAGTGACTGAATGGTTAACATATTCGCCGTGGAACCTGAAGGTCCTGAGTTTGATCCCTAGCCATTTCGTGGGTGCGTACTGTTGGGGAGTCCCATACTAGTGTGACGAGATAGCTGTCCAGTGCTCTCAGATCTTCAATGATTCCCCCAACCGATGTCGGTGCATGAATACCACTCCAAAATTAAAAATACCCATTCATCTGAAAAATGTATAGTGTTATATAACAAAACCAGATGAAAGCGATGATAACATGAATTGGCACAGCTAAGTTATCTGAAAAGTGTCCTAAATTAAATTTAAATTCTTTTAGACAGTAACTAAAGTATCTTTCGACAAATACTTTTCACTCAAATAATTGTAATCCCAGTAAACCAATATCAGTAATAGTTTTCAGTTAAGCAACTGTTTTATTCCTTTGTACTATGCATCAGGTGAATATCTTGGCATATGCGATTGAAGGTTGAAATAGATCAATTACTTCATATATTGCAATGGTGGATAATGGCTAGGTAGTAGAATCCAAGATGCGCGTTTCGTCCTATTTGGGACTAGTCAGGTGGATGTACCTGCCTTCCAGTGACTGATGTTATTCCCACCGGGATTCAGACTCGTGATTATTCGCTCCAAACGCCACAGGTTACAAGCAATTATACTAAAACTATACGCGTAGCACAAGAAGCAGCTATCGTGGTTCGGTGGTGCAGTGGGTAACACTCCAGCATTTGAAGCGATCGGTCCAGAGTTCGAATCCCGGTGGAAACAACGTCACTCAGTGGGAAGCAGGTGCATCCAGCTGACAAGTCCCAAATAGGACGAAACGTGCGTCATGCTGGATACCACTGCTATCCACTATCCATTATTACTTTAATTAGAATATAGGTAATATCCAGGCATCCGCACAGGAGCCCATATACTAATAGAGACCGATCAATCGGGTCCAATCAGCGACGGTATAATACAAGCAGTAATGGTAAAACTATACTCGACGCACAAGAAGCGGCTATTATGACCCAGATACCGAATAAGAAATATATATATATATATATATATATATATATATATATATATATATATATATATATATATATATATAATTCCCTGCCAGTATTTTAAACCTAGTAAATAAGTTCACCGTTTACCTTCTTTGCCATTTAAAATAATTGGCAGGCATATGCAGTTTTCGAGGAAAGTATGATGGTGATATTTGCACACGGAAGGTGATCTTATTAACTGAAACTTCCTTATCACAACTTAAAGTAAACAAAAACTATTATATGATTTGACCATCTAAGATAGCCGTAGTTTGGCAGACTAGTATTTGTACTGGATGATGATTGAAGATGAGATGAAAATCTGGACCGCGGCTGGATTTGAACCAGAGACTAGCGGGTTCTCGACGCGGTGCTTTATCAACTGAGTTACGAGGTACAACTCCTGACCAGAATTTTGTTTCACTTCACATGGTAGTCGGGTAAAACCTTTAGTGATTGAAGTGAAATAAAATTCTGGTCAGCAGTCGGACCTCATAGCTCAGTTGGTAGAGCACCGGGTCGGTAACCCAGTGGTCGCTGGTTCAAATCCGGTCACGGTCCAGATTTTCATCTCACCTTCAATCATTACCCACTACAAAAACTACTATAATCGGTCTATGAGACAAACAGATAGATAAATAGAGAAGTACATGTATAACTTCAAAGATTCAAGTTAACAAAAGTAGCGGGAAATAGAAAAACATATGATGAGTATGCGTATGGAAAAAACATGAAATAATTAGTTAGTTTAAAATGTCTGGTGATATTTTTTGTTTCCAAAGAGAGTATCTACTTAGGAGGTAAGAGATTAAAGCTGAAAAGATTCACTACAAAAATTAATTGAAGTTGTAAAACGATCGTCACAAAGAAAAAAAAAACCTGTCACTAGATAAAAGCATTTTCTATGATTCTCATCATTGAAAACTGATTTTCAAATATTGTTAGTAACAATGTAATCATATGGATTTGAAACACTTAAAGCTTAATAATAGTAACAATAATAATAATAATGGCTTTATTCTGAAAGTTATTTCGGGAATACTCTACGGAATTTTCAACACATCATACAGTATCAATTGGATAGAGACAGTGTATATGTATACATAATAAAATGAAATAAGTAGAAAATTACATGAAGAAAAGATAAGAATAGTAGCTCTATCTACAACTTCCTTAAAAATCCACAGTCACTTTAGGTAGACAATCATATTAGCAACTAGATTCATTATGCATAAGTAGTAGCATCCTATGTACCCATCAGTTAGTTTGCTTTCAAAAAGAAAAGTTGATTAGTCAGGTCATCACTAATACTTTCTTCATCACACGATGGATGAGCTTAATACAGTATTGTAGAGTTTTTTATATTTTGTAGTACGTACATAGAGTCTTATGTACTTGCTCCTCATCTTTCTAGATGATCGACACACAGAGAGCTTTGATTGAAGAGGATGCTGTTGGTCATCTGATAAAATAACTCCTCCTAAATGTTTATATGAGTTAATATGTTTCTCCGCAACTAATTTTAACTAGAAGGTTTATGCGTACATCACTAGCTCTGCTGACAATCTTCAAGGTTCTATGCAATATACCATAGTCTTTTTTCAGCGACCTGGGGAAAAAATAAAGGAGAGCAGTAGAGCAGGACATGCAAGATGCAGGAGTTTATAAAACACAAGTGGACAGACTGAGTAATACCAGATACTCTCAGCTTCCTAATATAGACAGTTAGCCAGAAAATT